CTTCGGAGCATCCATACCGGGTTCCCCCCGAAGCTTCCTCATCTTCTCCGTTTCAGGTCCCCTGTAGTTCCGTTCAGAGGCAAGGTCGTTGACAGCTAGGACCAGCCGGATTGTGCACCATCAATACTCTAATAATAATTACTGATTATCACAATAATTTAACAAATATATAATTAGTGATTATAAATAATAATTACTGTTATTATAAATATTTTTAATAACTAGATATTTACTTTAATTTTACTTTAAATTAAAATTATAAATATTGTTATTAAAAAATACTGTTAATAAATTTAGTAAACCAATTTTAATAATTACTTATTATTACAGTAATTTAATAAATATATAATTAGTGATTACAATTACTAATTACTGTTATTATAAATATTGTTAATGAATAGATATTTACTTAAATTTTACTTTAAATTAAAGTTATAAATACTGTTATTAATAAATATAGTAATTATTGTTATACTCAAAATAATAAAAAATGTTATTAAAACTATTGTTATTGATTATTTAATAAAATATTATAATTACTGACTATAACTAATAAATACTGTTATTTAATTTAGTTTTGGTAATTATTAATTTAATGAATATTATTAATAAATCCTATTCAGAAATTTAATAATTACTGTTATATTAAAAATGACTAAATAATATTATTAAAACTATCATTAATGATTATTTAATTAAATAGTATAATTACTTACTATTATTGATAAATGTTGTTAATAACGTTTTGACAACCGACTCTTCGACCGTTTAGATCGAAAGGATGGCCCACTCTGACAACAAAAATTACAAGCAAAAAATTATGGAACCATTCTGGCCACCAGTTTTTGGGTCGACGGTTCGACCATTTGGTTCGAACGGACAGTCCATTTTGACAACAAAAATTATATGCAAAAAATTGAGTTTGTGAGGTCCATTAAGTAGTATCATACATGCTTTGTCATCTGAGTGTGTGACTCATACAACTCGAAAACGGAACCGTTTTCGCCACCGGTTTTCGGATCAATGATTCGGTTCAAACGGACAACCCATTCTGACAACAAAAAATTATAAACAAAAATTTACAGAATTGTTTTGGCCACCAATTTTCAGGTCAGTGGTTCGATCGTTTGGTTTGAATGGACAGTCTGTTCTGACAACAAAAATTACAAGCAAAAAATTGAGTGTGTGAGGTCTATTGAACAGTATCATACATGTTGTCATTCGAGCGTGTGACTCATACGACCCAAAAATGAAACCATTATGGCCACCGGTTTTTTGATTGACGATTCGACCATCCAGTTCTGACAACAAAAATTAAAAAAATAAAAAAAATAGCCAAAAACCATTGAACGGGTCAATGGGTTGACGGTTTGACCACTCAGGTCAATGGGTCGTTGACTGATTCAATGGTTGGCCGGGTCAATGGGTCATTGACCGATTCAATGGTTTTTAACTACAGACCAAGATTAAAATAAAACGGAATCAATTGCCTAGATGGCCAATTAAAAAAATAAAAAACAGCCAAAAACCATTAAACATGTCAATGGGTCAATAATTCGACTGATTAAATCAATGAATGATTGACCGATTCAACAATTTTTTGTCAGAAACCAAATTAACAGGTCAACAGCCTGCGCCTGCGAAGCAAGGCCCTCCGCTAGGTTTTATTTAAAAGGAAAAGAGGAGCGGAAAGAATATGAATTCCTCACCGTACGTCCGTGATGAAACGATTTGATTTCTAGTAAATAAAAAATAATAATAAAAAGAAAAGGAAGGTAATTTGGTTTCTGACCTTAACTTATTTAAACTATTCCTCACCTTAACTTATTTAAACTATTCAATATATCCATTACAATCCGAATTCAATTCGAATCCAATACAAATCCAAATGGATGAAATCCGATTCAAATTCAAATATTTGAATCTACCCATATTGAGCCCCATTTGATCAGTGTGCAGCCCTAGTTCTGCCCCTGTTTCATGTCTTCCATATGTACTTCTAAAAACAATTTCTTTCTCATGTCTGTTGATTAAAGATAATGCAGGGCAGCCAACCTCAGCCTACATAAGAAGCAGTCTGTCTTTCAGATAATGCTGTTTGAAATTAAATGTTATTAATTAGAAGCAATTCCTTTTACCGATCCATATTTTTACACCGGTCGGTATCAAGTATCGACAATTACACGACCCAAACGAATTGATTAAGTCGGTATCAAGTATCGACAATGACAATCATGGCTCGGTGATAATTCGCAATGAGGTAGAGAAAGCCAATCAGTTCCACAATTACACGACCCAACTAGGAACGAAGCCGAACAGAAAATCTAAAAAGCGATTACCCAGTGGAAGAAGGGACAACCGCCGGCCAGGATTAGACGAATAACTGATGAGATTAGCTTTGATGGGTGGAAATTGGAATCCACTTTTACTGAACTGCATCAGTTTAATGACAACAGTTTAGATTGCGACAAACAATTTGGATTTTGGATGGTACAATGCGAAGGGATTTTGGATTGCGACAAACTGCATCAGTTTATTCATATTAGAAGGGTTGTAGATCAATCCAAACCTGACACAACCTATTCTTTAAAACAAAAGTTGGATTAGGAAGGGGATTGATGGCCTGTATATTATATTATATATGATACATCTGCTGTTATATTATATATATGATACAAACAAGACAAATATGTTTATAGAAGAGGGAGAGGAGAGAGGCTGATGATTAAGAGTTTAAGACTAGAGTATTCATGTATCAATGCATGCATTTGTAAATTTGGCAGGCAAAGGTCCAATCTGAACCCTAACTCAACCAACCCAATTAGGTTAAGGCTAGGTTGAGTGTTCTAGTGGTGGGTAGGTGTTGGTAGTGTTCTTGTGGGTGTAGTAGTATATTTTTCAAATTGGGTACAAAATTTGCATCCTCATCGCTTGGTGACCTAGTTTTTTTATAAAGGTGCAACAATACTTGGGTCATGTTTAGAAGTGTTTATGTTAAAAATAAGTGTTTATTCAAATTAGCATTTATTTGCATTTGATATCTAACTTTTCAAGTGCTTATCTTTTAATAAGCACTTATTTCATATTGGGTGTTTGGTAGTCTTTTTCTCCAATAAGCACTTGTACAAGTATTTGTGACTATTTTGTCCTTCATTTTCTTTCAAATTTTACGAAAGCAATTTTTCAAAAGTGCTTTTATGAAAGCACTTTTGCAAAAGTACATTTTGTAAAAGTACTTTTGTAGAAGTGATTTTGTAAAAATACTTTCGTAAAAGTGATTTTATAAAAGTACTTTCGTAAAAGTACTTTTACTAAAGTGCTTTCATAAGTACTTTTGCAAAAGTACTATAAAATTCAATTAGGGATAATTTTATAAGTGGTATTTTAAAATTCAATTAGGGATAATTTTGGAAGAAAAAAATTAAATAAGTACTTATTGTATAAGGACTTAAAAAAAGATGGAAAATTGTGCTTAACAATAAGCCCTTATTTTTAAAATAAGCACTTATTTCGGGCTTATTTTCCAAACACCAATAAGTGCTTAATGGCCCAAATAAGCACTTATTTTTAAGCACTCCCAACCATGGCCTTAAAACAATAAACATCTAGCCTGGCCTAAAATATGGTCTCACACCCTCTACTAGATCAATAGCAACCTTCTACACCAATTTGCCTTCCACTTCAAAATTAAAGTGACTTTTCTATCACCAAACTAGATCAATAGCCTGACCTAAAATTAAGCATCACCCTCTCCTATCCTAGATCAATAGCCTAGCCTAAAATATGCTCCTCTATCACCAAAGTTAAAGTGCCATGGCTCTCATCATCATTAGCAACCTTTTATAAATAAGCAAGTTACTCCCAGCCGGTTGAATAATTCGAACCATCGCCCAGCCAAGTTTCTGGGTCTGGTTCATTCAAGACTCGCCAGATAGTCAAAATTGTTGACTTGTTCAAAAACCATTTGACCCAGCCGTTTTGACGGTTGACCCGTTCGACCCGATCATCGGGTCGTGGGTTGCACACTCAATGTATGCAAACTTTTGGAAGCCATAACTTTGCACTCCGATGTCCGATTGGGGTTTTTTTATTTTAGTAATTTTTTGAGATTTATGCGTTCCAAGGAGTCGTAGATGCCTTTCCCCGCTATTTTTTTTTGCCTCAAATTGTAATTTTTAATATTTTTATAAATAAAAAGAATTAAAACTGAATTAAAAAACATAAATTAAGTATAAAAATATATATAACATATCTAAAATATATTTATACATTATTTATTAATAAAATATATATTTACACACATATATGTACATATATATATTGGAACTGGCTAGAACTGGCCAGTTTATACGAGTAGAATGGCCAAAAAACAATATTCAAAATATATTTTGTATGTTCAACTGTTTCTAATATGGAGATAAATTGAAAAGTTGAATCTTTAGGTTGTATTTGGTTGTAGTGAAATTTTATTTGCATTAGTACAAATGCATGAGAGTGCAAATGAAAAAAATGCAAATCAATTATGGTTAAATTTTATTTTGGGTTTTACATTATTCTATTTTAGGTCTTATTTTACTTGTTTGTAATGCAATTTGAAATAAAAATAAATCATAATTTGCACCGAAAACATTTGCACTATCATGGTTTTGTATATAGTACAAATAAATTCGCATTGCAACCAAAGACAGCATTAATGATTGGAATTGGAGTGCAAAGAGATGCCACTTTCTTTTTATTCTGTTTGGTCAATGGTTGAATTCAGTGAAAATGAAAGTGGAGAGTACGCTTACCAAATTTCTTCAAGCGTTAGGTTGGATCCATCCAGGTTAGGTCTGGTTCAGGTCAGCTTTAATCCAAACCCCCGAACTCTGAGCACTTGTGTTTTGGCGCATTCTTTTCCTCGGGGCATTGCCAAGGAACAGGATTTTTGCTGCCCCACTTGAATAGACAAGACAGACCAATTATCATACAAATTCTATATATTCACTTCTCAATGCAATGACAGATGCTTCATAAATCATTCATCATGGTAACGCTGCAGTCTGCACTACATACCATCCAATTATCCAAGTGGTGGTGGCTTCATAAATCATTCATCATGGTAATGCTTCATAAATCATTACCGTCACTAGTACGGTAATGAGGGTGGTCCATTCAACAACTATGGATTTCATTGTAGAACAGTGTACAAGATTGAGTCTCACAGTTGAATAAATACTACCAAAGGACTTGCCAAGCATTCCAGATGTAGGACCTAGAAACCAAATGGAGATCCCCACCCCCTTTCCTCTCTACCTCCCCCACTTATTCAAAAAATATATATATATATGGAAACAGGAAGAAATTATGAAATATTGAAGTCATGGATATCCGTCATGATTTCCACATGGAACATTTGCAGAACCAGATGACATAACAGAAACACATTCCTGAGTTTAAAGCTTCTCTTTTCCAACTGATCCAAAAATATCCCTACAGGTCTCAGACCTGAACTCTCTCTCCTGTATGTATATACACCATGAACTTTTCTTTTTTTGGTTGTAACATACAAACTAACTTATCGACTAGTTTTTGGGCCTTTCCAAATCATGTTGGCACGCTTTTGAAAAATGGTTTAAAAAGTGAAGCATAATTTGTATGTAGAATTTTGTGCCACACACAAAGAAGATTCCATTTGTGGATAAATACAACTTTATCGACTGGCTTTCAGGCATATGCTTTTGGGCCAATTCTTGGCAATCTTGATCTAAATACAACTTCAAGACAATACAATATACAGAATAGCTTGGCTGTTGTTGAGTTGAAATCAGCAATGGTTTATCATCCCTGTGACAGAGAGGCATAGATCAGATATACATTCCAATTGCCAACTAAAGGGTACTCGAACAAAAAGGAAAGAATGAATAAACTTGTCAGGTGACAGGATTTTGGTATTGATCTAGGGTCAGATGTCCAAGGTTTCATAAATCACAACTCAGGTTGTGCAGCTTTAAACTATTGGAAAGGAACTCCTCAATTAGGGGATTTATAGAGAATATCATGTTTCACATATTCAAATTATAAGCCTACGTATAAATAACATTGCACTGATCTTTTTCTCTTAGTCTACAAGAGCAACAAATATCAGCAATGGGCACTCGATATATACCCTCCAGTCCCAGTGACTGTCATCAAAAAGTTTTCTCTAGAATGGACAAGTGGACAACCTTAGATGACTACCTAAGGAAGACGCCATCAAAACCCTTGATTATGTTTGTTGCTATTTTTGTGTTCCCTGTAATCATTATAAACTAGAGAATGACTCCATATTAAGTATGGGGCAACTACACCTATGTCATTTTGTGTTTGATTTACTATTTATATGACATATTTAATTTGAGTTCCTTATTTAAAAAAAATTAAATCAAGTTTAATTTGTAAACTATTTTATCTAGAAGAAAGAGTCCCATGTCCATTGAATTGGGTATTTTTTTGGATAGGTAGACAAATGTATGAAGAAGCTAACACTTCAACTTTTGAAAGTGGAGTTAACTATTCTCACTATTTCTCAGAGTGGGTGGACACATGTCTAAAGAAGAAAGCTTCAATTTGAGAGTAGATAGACTTTTGATTGAGAGTGGGAGCAATCCACTTCTCAGATGCTCTTTCTTAAAAAACAAAATGCCAAAACCAAACCAGCCCAGTCTGACCTGGGTCACAGGCTAGCAACCGAGCCAGACCTTGAATCAAGTGTAAAGGTCAGTGGCTGATAGCTGTTGGCATCTGGCCACTTATGCTGACAAGCATTCTAAAAAATTCTTTACTTAGGGGAAAAAAAAAAAGAAAAATATATAAATAGAGGGACCTGTTTCCAAATGGGCACCCCCCCCCCCCAAAAGGCCGGATTTTGTCTCTCCCCTCTCTTGCCCAGATTCTTTCTCCTTTCAATCCAAATCCAATACCCACTTTTTCCTTCTCTCTGACCTTCACCGACTTTCTATCCTCACCAAACCATTGCCATTTCCCAGACTTTCAGGGGTCCGACCATGGCTGCCTTGTCCATGGAATTACACTAGATCTAGGAAGGGGTTGTGGACTAGCTAGATACAGACTTTTTTTTACAAAGAGATTGCTCCTGAGACTCGTGCCAACTTTCTCATATTTGTCAGACCAAGATATTCCACTGCACAAAGCATGACTTGCCCCTAATACATGCATACATATAGTATGGGAAAAAGCTTCCACATTCAGGTTAGCTAATGGACCTTCCTTACACAACCCACATATTTTTGCCATATTGAGGGATCTTGTGCCCAATCTAGATCATCCACCACACAGGGACCCACTGGATTGATCCACAATCCATATAAGTCATTCAAAATTTTAATTTTTTTAGTAGAAGTTTACCTATAAAATAATGCTTATTTTGCAGACATGGAAAATTGTTATAATTGGAAATTTTTTCCATGGAGGAATTCAGGGACTCGGATTGGATATCATTTTTTGGAGTATCTGCCTACAAGGAAGGATGGGCGGATATGGTGGAATATTGACCAAGAAAATTATGTCAAATCAGATTCATGTGCCACACCCACTACAACAGAATCAGCTACTGACAGCAGTTTAAACCCGCATATTTCCATGCCATAATTGGTGTTAGCATCTTTTTGTTTCAGATCATTTGAGGGTTCTCCATCACTTCGCCAAAAACCATTGAAGCTTCTGGGTTTTCTTGGGACCCTGAAATATCAAAAAAAAACTATCCATCCCTGACTAACAACTTGATGCGAAATTGAAAACACACCTGTCTCCTCTTTCTGCTATGTATAATGTAACATGAGCAGGCTATGACATAGCATGGTAGAACAAAGCCAGCCAACTGAAGAACAGAAACCTGAAAATAAAATTTATTCAATACCACTTCACCCATTTATAAATAGACAAATAGCATATGATGTCTAGTTTATATTCTTGTTTCATGCATGTTATGCATATATAGCATACAATTACAAGTATTTCTTTTTATAAAGCATAGATTTGAATGCATTTGTCTAAATGATATAAAATTTCAAAATGAACAGCTACCAATTATGGCTGCAAGTCAGATTGCCCAATTTGAAGAATTTCAATTACATCAGGCTCAGATTAGGTTTCGGGCCTATATAAAATTTAATAATTTCCAAAGTCAGCCCTATCCAAGTTTCATACTACCAATGATCATCACATTGTCAAACTGCATATGCTGCATTGACAAAGTATGCAAAAAGCTAGTAGTACCATACTAATCTAGAAAGACATGTTCTACATCAACCTCTCATTATGTAATTCAAGTCCAGATGGCATGATATAGTTATCCTATCAAGAGCTTTGGGTAAAGGGTTTTCCTTCCAAGTAATTTATGCATCTACCACTCATGACTAATATTAAAAGAAATAATGAAATTTACTTGTCATCAATAGCTTTTTGAACAACTACGGAGGGATAGTCTTCCAAGATCAGAATATCAATTTTTTACTTGTTCAGAGCATTTTTCACCTGTATTTTCATAATTGTATGCACATTTATATGGTCATGCGCATCTGAATGTATACATAATATACTAAATATTGTCAAAGCACCAGTAGACTCACATTTAAGTAAGTTGATGCTTCCTGCACCAAGCCAGAGCCCTTTGTGATCATCACAACATGGTGAATTAGAAGGATTAGCATCAACTGCAAAGATAAGCAAACTCACATTATCAATCTCCCAGTGGTGTAAAATCTTATAAGCATAAAAAATACGAGTAATATTTCTTTATGAAAGAAGGAATATGCATACAATGAGAGCAATGGAGCGGAAGAAGGCAACAGCTCCAGTGTTTGCCGCAGCATATTCGTCATATTGTGATAAAAGTAACCAATGCTCTGCAGCAGTTAGAGCTAGAAAACGTGCCTCATGAAGATCAATCTGTTGGCCCCATGCTTGTCTAATTGAACTGAAAGAAATAAAATATGAAAAGGAAAAAATATGGTGAACTTCCTAAGCAAAAATAGTGGATTGGACATGTATCCAAAAAAATGCACAGATGGAAAAACCAAGGCAATTTAAGGAGAACGCTCAAACAAGTAACAAAGTCTCAAGGAACCATTCAATCTAAAAGCTTAAGCTGTTAGGTGAGGTCCCTGAATAGGTTTTTATTCTTTAACATGCCCCCTCACACGAAAGCCCATTGGGCTTGAAGTGTGGACAAGCACAGGCTCAGCCAAAACCTGTGATGAAATTTAATTAATTATAATGGGGGCAACGAGGATCAAACACTAGACCACTTGATCAAATACAATCTGATACCATCTCAAGGAATCATTCAACCTAAAAGCTTAAGCTGTTATCAGAGGTCCCTGAATAGGTTTTATTCTCTAATGCAACGAAAACGTCATGACCAAACAAAACACAAAGATAAATAAAGAAAGAAAAGGACAAGCATTTCAGCAATTAGTTGCTATAATTAGGTAGCATATATTGAGGCTAAAAAACAYCATATAAAAATGGGATTCACAAKTCAACGGATCTCAAGAGTGTATCTGAATAATAAAAATCTTCTCGAATCATTATTTCYTGTGAAAAGTTGGGGAGCAGGTGGAACTTCATTTAGGTAAAAAAAAAAATATGCAATAACTTTGAGGTCCCAGTACACAGAATGGCACATTAAGGAAATTAACCGTAAGGACATCATTTAAACACAAAATTAAAGACTCAGAGTTCTTTCAATTTCTTCCAATCAAACATTTAAGCAAAGTTCCAGTCAGAATATTGTCCAAATCAAATTCAAACCCAAGACTTGAAGCATTATCCTTCACTCATGCAATACACATGGACCAAAAATGTGCATCTCTAGATTATTTGCCTCATAAATGTGACATAGCCTGATAGCCAGACCATCAATCTGATCCCAAATTGCCTCATAAAAGGCCAAAACCTACATTACAAAGGGAAAGAATTAATGACAACAGTTACTGGTTTGAGAATTGCATAAGTATTAAGACTCAAATGGAATAGTTACTGGTTTGAATATTGTCTAACTATTATGACTTAAATGGGTAAAGTTGTTCACATTTTCTGGTTATGCCTTCCCTAGAGGTAATTCAAATTCAAAAATATAAAACAAAGGCAAAGTGACTGGTCTCAATTAACAGGTCATTCAAACTTCCGAGTCTAGCCCTGTCAGTGTCAATGCTTCACACTCTGCATACTTTAACATTCTAATGATGCTCCAATCAATGTCCAAAAAGAATTATTGCACACTCCTAGACAATGTGTAATGATAAAAAGCACATCTGTGCCGGCACTATAGAGTTTCCAAGATCTTTTTTCCTGTAAACCTTCCAAGTTTTCTTTTCTTGTAATATTTATCATGTTGTAAAATTACTTACATAATTTAATATTACTTCAATAAATTTTGATAGTGTTATGGGCCCGGGAATAGGATCTCGTCACGGGTCGGTCTACGGGGAAAACCTCCTGTTTTCCCTTGTTCCTCCCTGCTCTTGATGAACTTATCTTGGCACCCTAATGGTGATTTGTCCAAGAGATCACCTAACTCTCCTTACTCTCTTTCTTGACTGAAATTTTCGATATCCTCATTCAATAATGGTGCCTCCTTAAATAGGAGATTACAAGAGTCCTAATCTTAGGGAGTCTCCTTGCTGAATAGGAGACTTTCAGTTCTATCTTGCTAAGGATAAGATAAGCTAATCCTAATCTGATAATCTACTAACAAGATAAGATAAGAGCAATAGAATAAAATAAGAACAAGCAAGATGATCTAATCTAATCTAGATAAGGCTGTTGTTGCCGAACTAGGTAGGATGAGAATCATTGAATCACTGCTGCTGCTGGCGGTGGGTCAGGTGCCTATTGCTGGCGGTGGCGATGATACATCTTCCCGAGGAATGCATCCATAACAGATAGTTATTAGTTACTGACCAAAAATATTCAATATTGATTTATAGTTGCATTATCATTATGTGATTTATAGAGGTTGGCAAGTTGCACACTGAATACTTGGCACTGGTGCTGAAGTAACAAAACCAATAAATAGGAAGGCCATGTATAGTATTAGTATAAGATGGCCGGAAGTAGCAAAATTACCAACATGCCCTTACAACTCATGATATCCATTTTATTACTTCCAAGTTCCACCTAATACTCTTCTTAGTTCTTGTTAGTTTCTGATGAACAACCAACAGCATACCATAATTTGGAGTATAATCTGAAAATAAGTTATAATGTATGGTTCAATGGGATGCATAGAGGTAGACCATCCTAACAAAAACAAGAATGTCAAGAATATGCATGTAAACTTTATGAGCGGTCCTTATTGGTTCCCTCCCCCCCC